TCCACACACCAGCCGACCTGGTAACTCAAGAGTAGACAGGAGGAGGAAGCCCTGTGGAATGAAACAGGCCTGCCTCGCACATGCGCCCATGCAAACTGCTACTGTGCATGAACTTTCCCTCACTCTGACTATGTAAATATACCTACATTTTTATTTCCGATTCTGAAAAGAAAAATGAAATGGTTAGTTAAGCTTCTGTCCCTGGTTAATCAGAGGAATTTTTTTTTAGTTTTGTCTTACGATGAGATCAGTGGCTGTTTTTATTTTATGTACTCCCCAGAAACTTTTCCACTGGATTTCCCCTGCTTCTGATAAACAGAAATGCTTACATTATCGTTGCCCAATATGTATGAACAAATTCTATGTCCAGGCTATGCCCAGGTAGGTAATCTGGCACCCTCCTGATCCTTTGCACAACTCCCATAATCCCTGCCCGTTGTCCATGCTGGCTGTGGTATATGGGAGCTGTAGTAGTAAAAGGGCCTATCTTTAAGCTATTCTCTGTGAAATCTATTCATTTCATCTACACTCTTGGTAAACTATTATTAATGGCAAGGAGCAAATAGAGGCCATAAGTAGCCATGACTTATAGTCTAAACATCATGCACAAAAAGAAAATGACTTCAGTGTAAGCTAGGGCAAAAGGCCCAAAAGATATTTCCCATTAATTTTAGAAGTATGTCTTTGAACTCAGAACTTCATAACATCCCTCCTTGCCACATTCATGATGTTCTGTGCTGCAAGAAAAACTAAAAATAGGAGATAGCACATGCCCCACTTATTCCAGTTTCAACAAAAACAGACAAACATACAAGTTTACTGTAAGCTGGTATAGCAAAGACTCAAACATTCACCAATGTTTTCCCCCTTTCCCATCCTCATGGGATGCGAGCTGTAACCGATAACATTTTGCTAGGGCTTTTTAGACAAGGGCAGGAAATGCTTACATGTAGACTACACATTTTTGAATGTCTGCCAGACCATTCCTCATGGGGGAGAGAAGTGTATTAAGAGACATGAGCTCTGATGATACAATTCTACCCTCACGGAGCAGAGTCACTAACAACTGGGTGGAACTGTACGTGGGTCTGACTATCCCCATTCGGGCTGATGATGAGGTTTCGGTGAATCATTAATTCTTATCTGAATTAAAGAAATGAGGAGCAAGGGCAAGATATTCTTATCAACAAAATGAACAAAAGGGAATCACCACTGACCTTCCCGCTTCGGCAAGTTCTATTGTTACACATTCTGTTTGAGCCATACCTTGTTTTCCTTGTAATACGGCATTTTCACTTGCATGGCTAAGCAGTGATCAAAGTTGTCGGAAACTACAATGTGTGATTCCTACAAAGACTTTATTTCAGGGGCAGGAGTCCTGGTGCCCAGGTCTTTTGAACTTTTGAACTACAGCTCCCATAATGCCTGATCGTTAGGTCATATTGTCTGGGCCTTATGGGAGATGTAATGCACAACACCTGGGGACACCAAGGTTCCCACTCCTTCTTCAGTGTACACCAAAAATGCTATGGCTTTATTTAGGGATTAAACCAGATTGTGATTCCACATACTCCCCCCACCTCCAGTGAATGCGGAAAGTATCTAATCAAGGGGCTGAGCTTGCTAACATTGATGGGACAGCTAGAATGATAAATGCAGCAGACCTCTCACTCACAAGCCCATTTTGCAACCGGGGGCGGGGGGTGCTGAGGGAACCATTGCACTGAGAGAGTCACTACACACAGTGCAGAACTGTACACAATGTAAAGTTATACAGTGGGTCAGACTGTACACAACGGTATAAAGGAAGGGCAGTTACAACTATAGGGTATGTAAGCATCCTAATGAAAAATGTGACATGGATGGATTTTTTGTGACTGCCCTCCTCTGAGCCCCTTGCAAAAAGCTTGAAAACTTTTAAAAAGCACCCACTTTCACTGCTCCTTCCCACAGGTTTGCTGGCGGCTGAGGAACTTCTCTTCAGGAGCGGCTGTGGGAGGCAGTCCCAAAGCCCAGAAGTACGTTCTCTCATCAGGGATGGGACCCACTCACTGCCAGGGAGCCAGGGACTGGGAGTGTCCATCTCATCATTAGCAAAAGAAAACGTTTTGCCAGGGCCCTGGAAATTCCCCCACACACACTGCTTCTTCCCTCCTCCTCTTGCCCATGTTGGGCAGAGGCAGCACAAACCATAAAGATGTGTGGGGTCCAGTTCATCTCAGTACTGCTTGCAGCCATGGGCCTTTTCTTGAAACACACTCGTGACAACTGTAATAAAGAAACACTGAGCAGCTGATCTAAGCTTCATCAGTCAGGGCAACCTTCTCCAACCAGGTATTCTGGCATCTGCTGACTTTGAAAAGCCACTGTGTTACCCGAGTTTCCAAAAACCATAACCCTTTCAGAGTAACACTGTTACAGTGTAGGGCTTTGCGGTAATTCCCCCTCCTTTCTGTCTGATTAACCCTGAAATCTATTTTGGCCTGGTTCCGGAATCACTTCCTTCCCATTAGCCAACTTCCTGAGAAAAAAGAGTGGCTTCACACCACAGTCTGAACCACCAGCTGACGCCTTATACAAAGATGCATTTTGCATGTAGCATGACTGGAAGTTGACAAGAGTGAATCTGCCCCTCCAAGAGTCTGCTGAGGGTGGGGGGCACAATCAAAAGAACATGTGCAGTTTATGCAGACATAGAGGAAACAAGAGTCTGTACGAGATGCTTTTATATAACCTATTCGTTACATACACCGTTTGGAGGAGCGGTGGGAAATTCAGTGGGGGAATCACATACACAGTATGCTAGAGGCACACTAGAATAAAACAATAGGGGATGAACACAATACAAGAAGAGACTTCAGGACAGGTGAACCATCAGCCTAAGAGTGTACCTCCAAAGGGAGACCTTTCAGGACAGCGACATCAGCATTTCTAAGGCCCACTTGGGAAGCAAGACTTGCAGCGTGGATTCTGTCTTATGTCTCAAGCTGTTCTTACAGGGTTTTAGCAGCCATGTTATGGGAGAGCTCTGGCTCATCTTGTCCTAACAAAGTCAAACACCCACTTGCATACCTTTCCTTTATATTGGGGAATGGAATTATTGTCAGCCTGAAACAACCAAATTCTATTTTGGAGAAGCTTTCAGTGGTCTCATTTCTGAGGTGAGGGACAAAAGGGGACAGGCCCAAAAGGCCAGGATATGATCGCTTCTTGCCACAGAAAGCCTGTGCCACCAACCAGCCAATCCTTGGAGAGGCATTCCAACCATTTAGAAATCCCTAAACTGTAACAGTGTTCTTCTGAAACTGTTTTGGTTTTTGGTAACTCAGGTAACACAGTGGCTTTTCAAAGTCAGCAGTCCAGTTCTCAGATGTCGGAGTTGTTGTGCTGTAGGCGCAAACACCTGGTTGGAGAAGGCTGCCTTGGCGGATGAAGCTTAGAACAGCTAAGAGCCTGTCCTTCTGTATTGTTAAGGCAACGTGACTGGGAGTTTCACCTCCCTCCAATCCTTAATTGCCACTTTCATTTGCACAGCAGAGCCCAACCTGAAAAAGGAGAGCAAATATAACCATACCAGCACCTAGTTTACTGTCTGGATCCTGATTATAGAGACCCTGCCAATTCATTCTTTGCAACCATACCCAACAACTGAGCAAATAGAAGCAAAGGGACACCATTTCCACTGCTCTGAATGATACAAAAACCTTGCTTGCAAGAACAGCACTTAACCACAAGTCATTCTTGCCTATTCATACTAAAATTAGTATTCATAATCTTGTCAGTTGCTGATCTCTCCACTTTACTTATTTGTTCCGAAAGGCAGAGTGGGTGACTAGACTTTATTTGCTCTGCAAGGCCACTCAAAATGGAATAGACAACTAGATCTCTAACCTTGCTGGGTTAGGTTTGTTCTTTGTGGTTCATGCAAGCAGAGAACTTACCTGGCTGGATTCTGGCCTTCCACGGAAATTTTACTATTGTAGTTTGGTAGGTGTCCAGTGCAGGGAGAGGAGGTTGGCACACATATCCACATAACCATCTGTGGCTACACCCTGTGTCTAGACTGCTATAGATTGTTTAAAAAAAATGTGCAGCTGAAGCTGGACCAAATGACTCTGTGCCTTCTGTTTCCCTAACATGGTGACTCAACATGTTTGGAGACTTGTGGGAGGAAGTATGTTGACTCAGCAAAATGACTGCCTTAATTAGCTCAGTTGCTTCTCTTTTGGCACAAGGAGGGAAGAAAAATGTCAGGGAGCAAAATACATTAAAAAAAACAAACAGCTAAGGTGCAGATTGGAGTATAATCCAATCCGAGGCTTCGGCGAATAGGGTGGCATAGAAATTTCCTAAATAAATAAAATAATTCTGTATAATTAGCTATCTACATTTTCCTCAGGTCTGATATGTTTTCTGCTCCAGTAACTTTTTAGAAAATGGAATCCCGACTAAACAACCAATTCTTGGGAAAACTAGGAAGGCAGCTTCTTTGAAATGTCCCCTTCTTATGCACTGGATGCAGATTTAAGGAGACAGAGGAGCGTTCAAGGACATTATGGCTTGGTTCGGAAGTACCAATCTTGCTTCAATAAGACATCACTTTTCAGACCTGTGTGCCCCCTCCTTATGCCCCCTCCTAACCCCTTCCTTTATGCATCTAGCTTTGGCAAAGACATCTTGATCTTTTAAACCATCATCCAAACTGGTTCAAGAGCTCCTCCAACCCTGAATATGTGACCAGGAGTACCACCTTAAATGCATTTATTTATGTAAAGTATTTTTATCCTGTTTCTTAGCCAAAAAGTGTTCCAGAGCAGCCTACAATCTTTTAAACAGTTCCTTCCCACAGGTTCATAAGCGAAAACGACACCACACGAGAGGGAAGAGAGATAATAAGGGAACAGGAAATAAAATAAACACTCTTTCATCAGGGCTGGTAAAATGGTCCTCCCTCCCCTCCAGTCTCCTCTCTCATTGCAAAAGAGCATTGCAAACAGCCGTATCAGTGTGATCCTTTTATTATCCAACCAAGTAGCATGCAGATTTGGAGTTAGACAAAATAGTTTAAAAAAAGGGGGCAAAAGTTGTAAGGTAGAAAGTGGCTGATATTTAAGCCATGGACTCTTTGTTGGGTTATATTCCTTGGAAGCGGGGCAAGTTCTGCCATGGGGTTCTCCATCCATGGAGCAGAGGAGGAGCAGGAGGAGGCAGAGGCAGGGCTGGGGAAAGCCCCATAACCACAAGGTCAGCCAGCAGCAGTGCCAGATGCCCACCGGGCTCCTTTTATGAAGTCACAAGCACAGGGGGCTTTTGACATTTGACCTTCCTGAGTATGTATCAGCCAGCGGTCTTTTTCAAACCATTTTCACCTTCAATCTGGAATTAAAAATATTAAAAGCACCTTCAAATAAACAAACCAAAATAAGAAGCACCTCTGAAGTAACCATCCCTGGCAAATTACACACAACAGTTAGGAAGTTCAGGAAAAACTTAAGCTGAGGGGGCGTTATAACTTACTCAGTAAATTCTGATACCATTTTTGGACATACATTCCATTTTGCTAGCACTGGTAAATACTTACTGAGAAGTATGATTGCGCCTGTGAGTCGTGTCTCCTATAAACATATACTCTTGAACTTGCCAGAGCTCTGCATTCAAGCCAGATCAGCTGGGCCAAAACTGTCAAGGAAACCCAGAGAGTGAAGAGCAAGGCCAACCAGGATAAAGTGGCTCCTACCTATTTGGCACTCATCTGCATTCTGCATGAGAGGGGTGTGTGTGTGTGTGTGTGTGTGTGAATGGGAAAGGGAAAGGGAAAGGGAAAGGGAAAGGGTGGGGGGGATACATTCTTTTCTACCATGCCACCCAGAGAGATTAGGTCCCTAGCAGAAGTGGTGTTGCGGGGTGACCCACTGTAGCCAGAATCCCAGATTATTCTTGTGGACTTCTGCATCTCTGCCAGGCCATCTGCCCCACCATTTTGCTGCCCATGGGAAGTTTTAGTAGTGGTTCATGTAGGGTATGGGCCTTGGATCTTTTGAGCAGTGCCCTGGATCTTTAGGGCTGCCCCACTTGCTATCAGTCTTAACACAAGCCTTCTTCCCTATGAAAAAAGAAGTGGATTTATTTGTGAAAAGTGTTTGAATGAACTCAGTGTCTAAAGTAGGAGCAAGGTATGGCTTGCCCTGGCCTTCTTGAGTGTGTCTGGAGCTCCTTGGCTCTGAAGTCAAGTTTCTGGAGTATACCTGTTTTTCTTGTGATCCTTCTCGGAGTCAGGGGTTTGCAAAGGCTGATTTTAATAAATTCAGGACAATGGGAAGTAATATTTTGCTGCAAGTGAAAGGAAAACAGAGGTTGAGATGGGTGGGAGTTTAAAAAATTAATGTACATTTACAAACAATTCCAACAAAAAACAAAAATAGAAGATAGCAGAAGAAACCAGTGTGGCTCCCCAAAGAACTTTTGCGTTGGCCTAAAAATAAAAAAAAGGATATTGAGGAAGCAGAAGGCAGGCCAGGTGATAAAAGTACAGAGAGGTGGCACAGAAGTACAGGAGTGCCATTAGGAAGGCTAAAGCACACAAGGAACTGAAGGGATGCTAAAACAAAACAAAACAATGAGCTATTTTTCAGGTGCATGCACAGTAAAGGACAGAGTATAGAAATGGTGGTTCAATTTCTTAAGGAGGAAGGCAAATTAATAACAGATGATGAAGAAAAGGCCGAAGTGCTCAATCGCTGCTTTGGTTCTGTCTTTTCTCAAAAGCAGGTCTGTGACCCCCCTCACAGAAATGAAGCACAAACTGAAGGGTCAGGACTGAAGCCTGAGATAATAAATGGTCAAAGAACACTTGATTTACTTGAATTAGTTCAGCTCTTCAGGCCCTGATGAGTTACATCCTGGAGTAATAAATGAACTGGCAGAAGGATCTTGGAATGGTCATTACAACCGGATCACAGGTTGACTATAAACTAACAATGCGATATGGCAGAAATAAAATAAAATAGCAATGCTATATTGGGCTGCATTAATAGAAGTATAGCTTCCAAATCACATGAGGTACTGGCTCCCTTCTATTTGGCACCAGCTAGGCCCCACCTTGAGTACTGTGTCCAGTTCTGGGTAACACACTTGAGAAAGATGCAGACAAACTGGAAAAAGTTCAGAGAAGGTCTACAAGGATGATCCAGGGACTGGAAAGAAAGTCCTATGAAAAGAAATTGAAAGAACCAGATATGTTTAGCTGGGATAAGACTGAGGGAAAATATGATAGCACTTTTCAAATACCTGAAAGGCTGTCACACAGAGGAGGGCCCGGATTTCTTTTCAAGCATCCCAGAGTGAGGCTATGAAACGATGGACTTAAGTTACAGGAAGCCAGATTCTGGCTGGACATCAGGAAGAACTTCCTGACAGAGCAGTACAGCAATGGAATCAATTACCTCCTAGGGAGGCTGTTTGCTCTCCCGCACTGGAGACTTCAAGGGGTAGTTGGACAGTCATTGGTCAGAGATGTTTTAACTTGGAGTCCTACACTGAGCAGGCGGTTGGGCCAGGTGGCCTTACAGGCTCCTTCCAACTCTACATAAAGGTGTCCAACGATGCATATTGGTACTTCCATGATGAGAATGCTAGAAACATCAGGTTGCGATATTTAGTGTAGATTTTGAGATTTCTAGAAATTAGAACTCAAGAGTGGTAAAAAAAAAAGAAAGAAAAAAAAGATGTTCTAATGTTTGTATTGCCTCATGATCCAGGGGCCAGAAGCAGCAAAGCAATGCTCTCCAGTCCTGAGGCCTCTGGCTAGTGGTGTTCTGATGGAAGAACAAATGAGAATCTTCTCAGAAGCAAACCCCTCTGGGTTTCTCCTTGGAAAGTGGGTGAGTTTACAGCCTGCAATCTGGGTTCTTACAATCTCCAATAAGCACCATCAGCCTCCTTGCAGGTACCGCACATTCAGTTTGCAATTCATCAGTAAACAGTTCAGGTGCCTGAGTCCGGCAGGCACTCCATTCTCCCCGCCTGGATTTGGGTCTGTGAGAGATGAAGGAAAATGTGGGCACCTGGGGGATTAAGAATTAAGCAGCCACAATTTGGGACACTGCACAGCTTTGTCCTGAAAGCAAGCAAGAATTTATCTTATTTGCTTTTTAGAAAATTTAAATCATAATTATTTCCAGTAATGCACATATGCAAATTATGTGCATAATTGCAAAGTTGTTATTTTTTTCCAGTTGCCTTTAGTCCTGCATCTTTTCCAGACCTAACACTTTGCCTAATAACTGGGCCTACTTGCTTGCTCTCCCGGTCTCGGTGATGCGCCTCATGGGGCTGGGGGCGCTCCTTCAAAAGGCACCTTGCGCAGGATCCACTAACACCCGGGACCGGCCCTCTTGGCTCGTGCCCCCATTTTATGGATGGGCATCCGAGGCCACGCAGCGCGCTTGACCCGGAATTGGGAGCGCTGCTCTTCCCGCAGCCGCCTCCCGGCACCCTGTCCGTACGCGACTGAAGGGGTGCAGGAAACGATCCTCCGCTCTGCTCCGCTCCACGCCGCTGCCGCCGCCCCACGCGAACGGCCGGACAGAGGCATTCCCGCCCTCGCAGGAACGAAAGCGCCCGGCGCCGGCTCCGCTCCACTCCGCCCCCTCTGCGGGAAGCCCCACGGCGCTGATCCGCCTTTCCCCTGCTCTTTCTCCCTCTCCCTCGCTCGCCTCTCCTCCTCCGCAGCCTCCCATTAGCCAGCGATGGGGGCGGTCCTATTGCGCTAGTCTGGCGGCGGCGGCGGGGCTTTCTCCGCCCACGTCCCGATACCCGTCCCAGGAAAAACAGAACAAAACAAAAAGGAAGTGCGGAGTGCCGCCGGCTGCGGAGCTCCCTCAGTGCCCGCTAGAGCGACGTCTCCTTCCCGGCCCTGCTGCTTTTGCGCCGCCGCTGGGCGGGTGCGCGGGCGGCAGTGGTCCAGAGGCGCGGAGGGGACGAGAAGGCAGCGCCTCCGCAGGGCATCAGCCGGGCACCTCTCGCCGCCTTCTCTGGCCATGGCTGGGATCGCCTTGCTCTTCCTCGCCAGCCTCCTGCTGGCGCCGGGCAGCGCCTTCAATCTGGATGTGGAGAGACCGACTGTTTACACCGGCCCTGCGGGGAGTTACTTCGGCTTCGCGGTGGATTTCTTCGTCCCTGACCGCTCCTCGTAAGTATGTTGCCGCCAAGCGGGAGAAGCGACGCGCTCAGACCGCTGCAGTCGCTTCCCAAAGAGGCACGATTAGACAGGCGCCAGGGAGTATCGGACGAGCGTCGGGAAAGTTCCTGATGGAGCCCTGGAAGAGAAACCGAAGTGCGCCTGTTCTGATCTCTCGCTTTGAGCACAGCTTTGGATGTCAGCTGCCTTAAAATGAATGGGGCTGGACTTCCGAGCAAGAGTGTGTGTGGAATTGGGATGTCCTTTTCTCCCCCCCCCCCCGCCCCAGCCCCTCGGGCCGCCTGCTTATTGTGTCCTGGTCGGATGCCCTCCTCGCCTAGCTTAGCTGGGTGCTTTTCTCAGGGGAGCAAGAAGTGCAGCCAGTGAAAGTAAGCCCTACCTCTTTCAGTAGGACTTACTCCCGAATAAGCTTGCGTAGACTTTAACAGCCTGGATTTAAGGTAAAAAAAGAAAAAAACCTTGAGAGATACAGGCTGATAAGAGGATTTAGTTAAAATCCCAAGTGCTCTAGATTGTAGACAGTAGTCTTAACTTACATTCCTCCCTAGTCCTCTGAATTAAGAATTGCCTCTTTTTATCCCATACATACAAAGTCATAGAAACATGTTATGCCAGGGAAGATAATGGTGCTATTTGGTGAGTCTTTTTGATGCTGTAAAACAGCAGATGAAAAGTGCTGTGCATTAGGGGAGACACTGATTTATTTTTATTGGTAGTTAATAATAATATATATTTGCTTCATGTCCCCAAGAATTAAGGTGCAACTTAGATCAATATAATGTGATATAATATAATTAAGTGACAATTTATTTCTAGTGCAAATAAGATGAACATGTAGTTAGCTGAATGTTGCAGTAATGTAATGTACCTGCATGTAAGAATAGTGTAATGTGATGAGATAATAACCCCCCCCAGCAAATAATATAAATAGAATAATACTAATGAATGCCACACACTGCAAGTATGTAATGATATCCATAAAACTCCTAAATAGAAAAGGGTAAATCAGTAAGGGCACAATACTATGGCTGCTGGACACTGTCTGGATGGCCATAGGGTAATTTCACTTTGCAGCCCCAACTTCAGAGAAGTGCTCCGAGATCAGAGCTGAAACCTTGAATTTGGAGCACTGTCTCTCCTCCCCTGCACCCAGGGTGGTTCTTTCCCCTCTGGCTACTTCTCCAAGCCTTGTGGCAGTGGGTGGGCCTAAGAGTAGGGAGTAAATCGACCCTCTTAAGTGTTCTGGAGGGTCAGAGAAGTGCCAAGGTGGTCCTACCTTCCGTATTTCTCCTGCCCTTAGGTGGATACATGTAACCCGCTTGGGTTCAGAGAGTCTTGGGCAGCTACACTGGATTAGCTATACTGATGTCTCCTAGGGTGCAACCCTCTGCACACACACCTGGGAGTATATCCCATTGAACTCAATGGGATTTACTTTTGTGTAGACGTGTATAGGATAGTGCTGTTAAAACATCAAAGTAAACCAAATCCCTCACAGGCCGTGACTACATGAACATCTGATTCTTTATCAGGAGTGACACAAATTTTTGTCAGAGATTAGTTTTGGCTAGTGTCACTGCAGGAGATTGGCATATTGACATTGATCCACTTGAAAGCACTTCTGTTGTGGTTGTGATTTTGTCTGACACGTCTTCATTTTGATTATGGGTAGAAGAAACCATCAGAATATTTATTTAAAGTCTCGGAGAGAAAAGAGGGGAAAAGGTACCCACAATGAGAGGGACTTTGCCTCAGGCCTGTTGTATGTGTAAGGCTAGATCAAGTTAAGTGTTTATGATAGACAATATAATTCTGAGGCTACATTTCCAATAGGTCTGAGGTGCTTTATAGGATTACTAGGTTTGCTGGTAAGGTCACACGGTCGGATGGGCACTGTTTTCCCCCAAAGCAGGCTGTCTTTCTAAACATGCTTACTCCAGAGTAAGTCCCATGTACCCCACAAGGACTTCCTTTTGGTTAAACATGCTTAGGATTACTTGTAAGGTCACTTTGGATGTTTAATTAGCAAAATATTTTGACACACATTCACACATATGAACACACAGTCTTAGAACTGAAAGTGTCTCCTAAGCCAGAAGAGTTTTTAGCAGAAGCAACCGATCTTTGGTCAGATCCAAGGCCCATCACATCCAGGTTTTGTGTTGAGATGGCCAAAGATGCGTTTGTGCCTGGGAGGGTAAATCCAAATAGTGAAGCCAACGAAGGCTGACCTTCATGAGGCACAGTGAGGGGGTTTCTGCAGGTGAGAGATGTTGGGTGACTGGAGAAAGGGTTGTGTGCCGCAGCCAATCCCCTGTCCCCTAAGGTGCTTGGCTGCTCTTGGGGCATTGGAGGATGTTCTCCCATTGCTGGTGCAAAGGTTTCAGTTGCCAGCCTGTGGTATGTGGAATGGGTAGGGGATACCAACATGTCTTTCTCCTCAGACCACAACATTTCTTGGGCTGATGCTGGCAGAAATGAAATCATAAACTAAGCAGTTGATTATCTCTGCCTTGGACGTTGCCTGAGGACTGGCTGCCTGAGGGGACTGCCAAGCCTAGCTTAACCCTGGCTCCAGTAGCAGCCAGCTGGGAGCCCTGGGATGTCAGTCTGCAAGCAGGAACAACATGATGGACGTGGTCTCTTCCTGTTGGTTGTCCCCATCATTTGGCATTCTGCTCTTGAAGTTCTCAGGAATACTGGTCATTGCTAGTTGACATTCATGACATTCACTAGAACTTCCAACAAGTTTTCAGAGCAAAAAGGCACAGCAACACTTATCATACATGAGACAGGAATTCCAGTTGATGGTTTCCTGTTCTGCCTCTCCAGATGCTTGGCCTTCAAGTCCTATCATCGCTCATCATTGACTTTGCTGGCCAGGGCTGATGGGAGTTGTATGACAAAACAGCTGGAGGGCTACAAGTTACCCACCCTGTTCTGTGCTCTGTCCTAAAACTGTGCTACCATGCAGTGTAACAAAAAGGTAAAATTTTGGGGATGCTGCAGATGACTGGACCATCATGTGCTGATAGGAACATTTATTTATTTATATTAATGTTAATCCTGATTTTTTCTGTGAAAAGCACATTTGAGGTATCTTAGTATGCAAAATTATACATCCTTAGATGGTCATCATTGTAAAAAGGCAGACTCATTATTAGTACTACATTTTATTTATCTTCCTGAACTCAGGGTGGCTCACATATCTCCAGTTTGTCCTCACAACAACCTTGTGAGGTGGGCTGGGCTGAGAGGGAGTGACTGGCCCTTCATGGCCAAATGGGGACTAGAACCCGGATGTCTCAGGGCCCCAGTCCAACACTCTTAACCATCCCGCCACATGCACACATAACACTAACCCAGCTCTTGGGCTGAATTGAATACTACTACTACTACTACTAATAATAATAATGAATTTATGAGAAGTGAGATTAAACAGCTAGATGTTTCTCTGACCCAAGTGTTTCCCATTGATTAGTTGACTGATTCCTGCTCCTGTTAATAAGGTGACAGATTGGGAAAGGAACATGAGTTTTGATTGATCAGTTAAGACTGTGGTCCTTTATGCACTTACATGGACAGCAGTCTTGTTTGGTTCAGTTGGGATTATTCTGCAAGAAGGGTGTTACAACATAAGGGTGCAATTCTGTCCAGATTTAGCTAGTGGTTAATCCATTGAATACAGTGGGGCTAGTGCCCAAGCAGGCTTGGATAGGACTGTGCTGTAAGTTTATTTATTTATTTGCAATATTTTTCTGCTGCCCATTGCAGTCATATGGGTGGCATGCAGATTCACATAGTATTCTTCATTACATAGAAATATAAAAAATGAAAAACTTTGATGGGGCGGCATGGATTGAATTGAATGTCAAAAAGCAGGAAAACAACTGGAAATGTACAGTGTCCTTTCTGTGCTGTAATTTCCCTTTGTTTACTATGGTGATACCATTTTATGACTTTTTAAAATCACCAACACCCTCTGTTCACAAATGGGTTGAATCCAGACTTAGTCATTTTCGGAGAAGACCCATTGAAATCAATAGCATGGATGTTAGTCATTGACTAGAAAAGTTAGTCATGGCTAAGTAGGGCTTGGTCTGGACCCAACAGCACTGCTCACTTAAGATAAAGATGTAGTTGTTTGTGAATATGTCGTAAATTAACAATATGGGTATTACACAACTGTGTGTATGAATGTTCTCAGGGAAGTGACTTCATGCATGATTCCCCAAAGTGAGGGTTTGTTGAAAGGAAACAGACATGTAGCAAATAACTGCTATTGCAAGTTATTCTGCTGAGGTATAGTATTTTGGAAATTCCTATGGAAAACATGTTGTACCACATTTGTTATAGTAGAGTCCTCAAAAAACTTGTTGAAGCATTTTCAGATCTTCTGTATAACATCTTTGAGAGATCCTGGAGATTAGGTGAGCTCCCATGGGAAGGGCAAATGTTGTCCCAATCTTCGAAAGCAGGGGATGGGAAGGGGAATTTGGCAATCTGCAGAGTGGTCTGCTTAACTCAGATACCGTTGAACAGAAGCATCTTGATTACAGCATTTGATTTGTTTAAGCCGGGGAGGAGTTGGCAAAATTAAATCCTGCTTGGTCCATACTGGTTTTTCCCTCCCTTTTAAAAAAAAAGTACGTTCAATATATTTTGGGAATGCTATGGATATAATCAGTCTTGATTCAACAAAGCACCCCCCTACCGCATGGCATTTTGACTGGAAAACTGGTTCAATTAGAGTTAGACGGGTGCATCTTTATGTGAATTCTTAGCTGGTCAGAAAACCATTCTTCACAGATGTTCCTCTGCAGGCCTTCTCGAACTGAACGGGCATTTGGAGTGGTTACTGCAGGACTCTGAACTGGTGCCCATCATAATTTTTTCAGATGCTTAAATGGAGCAGTGGAGAGAAGCTGTATCTGCATTGCAGGTGTTTCCTTTTCATAGTTGTTCATGCTCCTTTTAGCAGTGTTGCTTCT